TATGCACAGTATACATACTGAATACTACAGAAATAGTAAGAGTAGTGTGATAGTATGGCATTTCGAACACAGCCCATGGCTTATAAAGTGTGTCTCATTGGATGCAGCTGTGTGTGTATAATCAGTGCAATGGATGATGGGAAATGCAGTCTGGGTGATGTGTAACAGTCTGTGTGGTGTGAGAGTTAATGTAATGGTAAAGCGACCTCTGGTGACAATCGGCCGGATCTGGTGGCAATCGGACGGAAGGCCACGGACCGGATTCGTGACAGAGCCCTCCCCCCAAGGAGCGGCTTCCAGACGCTCCCAACTCAATACAATCCAGGAGGGTGGTGGAGCGGAGGCGGAACAGGGAGAGGGACGGTGGTCCAGGTCCATGTGGAAATGGAGAGACTGGGGACTGAGGCAAAGCCGGCAAGAGCAGAGCAAAAAGAGCAAATATAGAGCAAATATAGTAGGTCATCCGGGTGTTTCATGCATACAGAAAATGTGCATACTATGCACAGTATACATACCGAATACTACAGAAATAGTAAGAGTAGTATGATAGTATGGCATTTCGAACACAGTCCATGGCTTATAAAGCGTGTCTCATTGGATGCAGCTGTGTGTGTGTAATCAGTGCAATGGATGATGGGAAATGCAGTCCAGGGTGATGTATAACAGTCTGTGTGGTGTGAGAGTCAATGTAATGGGAGAGCGACCTCTGGTGGCAATCGGCCAGAAGGCCACAGACCGGATTCGTGACACTCATAATAGATTTTATGAAATGGGAACTGAAGATATTTTAGCGTTTCAGCTATATCCACAGCCGCTACAATAATTCTTATGATCTGCATATTACTAATATCAGTGTCTCTGATCTGGGACTGTACTACTGTGCAGATGTAGAGAGAGACTGGGGACTGAGGCAAAGCCGGCAAGAGCAGAGCACCAAGGCGGAGCAGGGAACCAGGGTGGAACAGTGAGCCAGACCGGAATCGGCAGAACAGGTGGAGCTGAGGACCACCACAGCAGAGCAGACAGGTCCGGAGATCCCCACGGCGGAGCAAAAGTCCACCAGGGCGGAGCAAACGGAACAGGAGCCCACCAGGGCAGAGCAGACGGAGCAGAAGACCTCCATGCAGAGCAGACGGAACGGAGCCCACCAGGGCGGAGCAGACGAAGCAGAAGACCTCCATGGCGGCGAAGACGGAACGACCACAACGGAGCAGATGGGACAGAAGCCCACCAGGGCGGAGCAGACAGGGCAGAGGCCCAACAGGGCAGACACGGCGGAGCAGAAGCCCACCAGGGCGGAGCAAACGGAACAGGAGCCCACCAGGGTGGAGCAGACGGAGCAGAAGACCTCCATGGTGGAGCAGACGGAACAGGAGCCCACCAGGGCAGAGCAGATGGAACAGGTGGAGCAAAAGACAACCACAGCGGAGCAGAAGACCCCCACGGCGGAGCAGATGGAACAGGCAGAGCAGAAGACCACCACGGCGGAGCAGAAGACCACCAGAGTGGGACAGAAGACCACCAGGCTGGAGTAGATACCCATGGCAGAGACTGGGATCTAGGGAAAACTGAGACACACGAGACATACAGAGCATTTATGGCCTCAAGGGCCAAGGCAGGGAACACAAAAAGTGAATTAATAGTTTTCCTGGTGACAACTGAACGGGCAGGCAGTTCATAAACAGGCTCATTGACTGAAACTGAACAGGCTGACAATTCACACTCAGGCTCATTAGTAGAGACTGGATAGACAGAATTCAGAATCGGGTCCATTGACAGTGACTGGATGGACAGACAGTTTATAGTTAAATGCATTGGCTGGAATAGGACTGGCAGACAGTACAAAATCAGACTCATTGAGGGAAACTGGACTGGCAGGTAGTTCACAAACAGATTCATGGGCTGATATCCCATATAGACTGACAGCTCAAAATTTGTTGTATTAACTGAAGCTGGACTGGTAGACATTTCAGTGACTGAAACTGGACAGACGGATGGTTCAACAACAGACTCAATGACTAAATCAGGACCGACAGATAGTTCAAATTCAGACTCAACAGAAGCATTTAGACAGACAGACAGCTCAGATTTAGATTCCTTGACAGAGACAGGCAAGACAGACAGTTCGAAATCAGAGACATTAGTTGAGACGAGACGGACAGACAATTCACAATCAGCCACCATGGCTGGTTCAGAACAGGGAGAGGGTTCAGAGATGGCATCCTCAGCCAGTTCAGAATAGGACAAAAGTTCAAAAGCAGCTTCCGTAGCCGTGACAGGGCAGGACGAGGATTCACAGACAGCCTCCATAGCCGTGACAGGACAGACCGAGAGTTCACCGACGGCCTCCATAGCCGTGACAGGACGGGACGAGAGTTCACAGACGGCCTCCATAGCCGTGACACACCTCTGGAGGTTCTACAGCAGTACCATCAGGAAATAGGGAGAGTTCATTCATATTCTCTTTAAGAGGACAGGTACAGCGTTCATCAATGGTTCCTTCGACCACGACATGACAGGCTGAGAGTGCATTGCTGGGCGCCACCACCGTACAAGGAGCTGAAGCGAGCGCCGCCGCCTTGGGAGGTTCTGCAGCACACGCCGCCACCTCTGGAGAAGCTGCAGCGGGCGCCATCGCCTCTGGGGAAACAGCAGCGAACTCCACTACCTTGGGAGGTTCTGCAGCATCAGCCGCCACCTCTGGAAACATCATATTAGGCGCCGCTGTTTCAAGAGTCTCAGTGGTGGTGTATGCAGCCCAAACCATTATGGGAAGCGCTACAGACAGGGGAATCAGATCAGGAACAGGAGGGCTAGAGTGAATGGATTTGGGGATACCAGCTGCGACTGCTGACACCAGTGGTGGATCCTCCACACTGGATGCCAGTCTGGGATACTGAAGAGCTGACCTCGAAGATCTGAGTGCAACAAACGGGAAGTGACGAGACTCTGGACGATCAGCTGTGACGTGACGAGACTCTGGAAGATCAGCTGTGATGTGACGTGACTCTGGACGAACAGCTGTGATGTGACGTGACTCTGGATGAACAGCTGAGACGTGACGTGACTGGACGAACAGCTGAGACGTGACGTGACTGGACGAACAGCTGAGACGTGACGTGACTCTGGACGATCAGCTGTGACGTGACGAGACTCTGAAAGATCAGCTGTGACTTGACTTGACTCATGACGATCAGCTGTGACTTGACTTGACTCATGGATGGCAGCTGTGACATGACGGAGCGTTGTTGTGGCTGCCATTTTGTGAACGGGCTCCGCCATTTCACGAGCGGGTTGAATCATTGGAGTAGCGATCAGTAAACTCGAATGTCCCTGAGTTTGTGGCTGACTAGATCTCACGGCCGCCATTACCGGCCCGATCGCGATATCGCGTTCCTTCTCCGCGACACCCACAGTGAAGAGAGCCAACAGTCAACAAAGCAAAGTCCAAAAAAACAACTCAGTGACGAACACGGACCCTCGCGTCTAAGCTCAGATCGTAGAGGTTGATTAAGGCCATTACAAAAGAACTCTATCAAAAGACAGTCCGGTAGATCAGAATAGTGTGCTGTGGCTAAAAATTCACGAACATAGTTCTCCAGCGATCGCAGGCCTTGTCTAAGGGCTAACAAAATTGTCCATACCTGGCCAATGTTCCTCAGAAAAGCTGCTGGGTCCTTTAAGACCCCGGGCTGGACTCCGCTTTGTCCACGGTGAAAGCCGATCCGGCGATCGACAGTGCGAAGTTCAGGTATTTCCTCAGTGACCAGTACGGATCAGCCCTAGGCATGAGGAAGCGGATATCGTCCTCTTTTGGAAGGCCAAACAAAGTAGTTTCGCTTTCACAATGAAACACACAGCATCTCCACAACATGGCGGCAGCGGCAACAACAATACTACAGCGAGAATAAAAGTTACGCCTTCTTTCTTTGTGTGAACATTTGGGTGGTGTTATGCAAATCTTCCCACACAGTGACGTAGACATGTGGGGGCGTGTTTTGAAAGAACCGTTTTAGGAGGGCATGGACAAGTCTTAACTTTTATAAAGAATATCTCTTTGAATTTGAGACTTTAGTCTTTGCAACTTTACAGATCTTCTTTATGCACCAAGAGCTTGTAACACTCCAAAGAGAAAGGAAAAATTGAAATTGCATCATATGACCCCTTTAACAAATTAAATTGTTTTATTTGCAACTTGCTCATTGTTACATTTGCGCTGTAGGCAAAAGTTGTGTTTGGAAATTCTGCCCTTACAGCACCTGTTAACAGAAACATACTAGATGTTTCTCTCATTTTCTTTGATTTGCCACCCCCCCCCAAAAAAAAATATCATTAAAAAAAAATAATAGTACACAGCATCATTTTAAAATAATTTAATTATTCTCAGATTTGAAATACATGGTGAGACTTGTGTCTTTAACTGCAATGAGTTTCTAGTCTCTAAATGTTTCTTCTGAAAAATGTGCCAGATCTGCAACACAGATTCCCAATAGTGTGCACTCTACCGAGTTCAGATGTTTAGCAAAAGTACAGCAAAATTGATTATTGGTGAATTTCACAGCTTGTGAAAGTTAGGTGAGGAGAAACTGACTTATCAAGCCCCGTTCACTGAACATACTGTAGCCTATATTTAGGCCAAGGTTAAAATCACATTATTACAATACTTAAGACACTTTTAAGGGGCGAAGGAACAAACAAATATCAATACACAGAATGTGATGTTGTCTCTTGTGCCATAATCTTAGGTGAGAACTCATACAGCAGCCTTAATAATATGACAACATACAATACAAACAATCCCCACAGACATACATTAATATGGCCTTCATACAGCTACAGGATCATAGGATGAGTTGCTTCATTCATCCCTTACCGAGACTAATTTGTTGGGCTGAGTGAGTATGGACATGTCATTGGGGTTATGAAGTGAGCATCCTCTTTCAAAGGTTTCATCCAGTTGGTTTATATGGGTGTGTGTGTGTGTGTGTGTAGGTCATCACTTTTTTTTTTAAACATGTTGTAGATGGAATTAAGAACCTAGCCAGTGTACTTTCTTAAAGATGAATATAAAAAAAAAATAAACATGTAGATGGAATTAAGAACCAAGCCAGTGTACTTTCTTACGGATGAATATATATATTTCATCCTTCCCCAAATGCATTTGCAAAAAGTATAGTATTTTACAAATTAATTTGTAGGGCACTAAGTTTGTGCTTGATGCAAGCATGAAATAGCTACATGTAGAGTTTATTTTCAGTTAGTATAGACATGTCAATCTATTTTAGTATACTTATCATGAAATAAATATATTTTAAATACAATTAAGTATATTTATTTTTCACTAAGGACTACATGCTGCTTTGACTGTTTTATTGTGTTAATTCTGGATGATGACTTTGGGGTGACAGAAAAAATATTTTTGTTTTCTCTCTCTCTCTCTGTGTGTGTGTGTGTGTGTTAATGTGTTAATGTGTTAATTCACAGACCATGCGCTGTCAAAGTTCCCTGACTTCACCATGCAAGATGTGAGATGCATCATAAGGAAAAAAGGCAACAACGAAAGCTACATCAAACAAACTACTGCAAAGAAACCCATATGAATAGAACAGTTGTTGTCATATATTTGAACAATTATTGGATTTCCTTTTTTGTGTTTTCTCCAGAGACTGATTTATTGCATAACCCTACCTTAAACATTGTGTTTACAGATTTTTGAACTGGGGTGTAAATTTGCCTGTCATTGTTATTTTATGTTTATGTGGAATCCAGTACAAAAGATTTGTAAGAAATAATGGATTTATAAAGAAAATTTATGTTTGTAATTCTGAGTATATGATTTTTTTTTTGTGTAGTCCACTGACAGCATCCATAAGATTGAACTTTAAATTAAAAGTACAATTAAAAGGTATATGTCAAGTATAAAAATTAATAGGTACATAGGAACATTGTAGTGTACTTAAAGTGCAAAAATAATAAATAAATAGTACTACTAGTTAACTAAGAGTACACTAACAGGACACTTGCAAGTGCACTTGCAGTATGACTAGTAAATTACTACTTAACTAAGATAACACTAACAGAACACTTGCCAGTACACTTGCAGTATAAGACTAGTACAGTACTAGTAAACTAAGAGTACACTAACAGAACACTTGCACGTACACTTGCAGTATAAGACTAGTAAATTACTAGTAAACTAAGAGTACACTAACAGAACACTTGCACGTACACTTGCAGTATAAGACTAGTAAATTACTAGTAAACTAAGAGTACACTAACAGAACACTTGCACGTACACTTGCAGTATAAGACTAGTAAATTACTAGTAAACTAAGAGTACACTAACAGAACACTTGCACGTACACTTGCAGTATAAGACTAGTAAATTACTAGTAAACTAAGAGTACACTAACAGAACAATTGCACGTACACTTGCAATATAAGACTAGTAAATTACTACATAACAAAGAGTACACTAACAGAACACTTGCAAGTACACTTGCCGTATAAGACTAGTAAACTACTAGTAAACTAAGAGTACACTAACAGAACACTTGCAGTATAAGACTAGTAAATTACTACTTAACTAAGAGTACACTAAGAGAACACTTGCAAGTACACTTGCCGTATAAGACTAGTAAACTACTAGTAAACTAAGAGTACACTAACAGAACACTTGCAAGTACACTTGCAGTATAAGACTAGTAAACTACTAGTTAACTAAGAGAACACTAACAGAACACTTGCACGTACACTTGCAGTATAAGACTAGTAAACTACTAGTTTACTAAGAGAACACTAACAGAACACTTGCACGTACACTTGCAGTATAAGTCTAGTAAACTACTAGTTTACTAAGAGAACACTAACAGAACACTTGCACGTACACTTGCAGTATAAGTCTAGTAAACTACTAGTTTACTAAGAGAACACTAACAGAACACTTGCACGTACACTTGCAGTATAAGTCTAGTAAACTACTAGTTTACTAAGAGAACACTAACAGAACACTTGCACGTACACTTGCAGTATAAGTCTAGTAAACTACTAGTTTACTAAGAGAACACTAACAGAACACTTGCACGTACACTTGCAGTATAAGTCTAGTAAACTACTAGTTTACTAAGAGAACACTAACAGAACACTTGCACGTACACTTGCCGTATAAGACTAGTAAACTAAGTGTACACTAACAGAACACTTGCAAGTACACTTGCAGTATAAGACTAGTAAACTACTAGTAAACTAAGAGTACACTAACAGAACACTTGCAGTATAAGACTAGTAAATTACTACTTAACTAAGAGTACACTAACAGAACACTTGCAAGTACACTTGCCGTATAAGACTAGTAAATTACTCCTTAACTAAGAGTACACTAACAGAACACTTGCAAGTACACTTGCCGTATAAGACTAGTAAACTAAGTGTACACTAACAGAACACTTGCAAGTACACTTGCAGTATAAGACTAGTAAACTACTAGTTTCTTGAGAGTATACGTCAAAGTGTACTTTCACAAACTAATCATTTACTACAAGTATTACAATAGTAAACTATTAGTATACTCATAAGTTCACTTGCAGTACAAATGAAAACGTAATTGTGGACTAGTTGTGCACTTAAAGTTCACCACTGTTACACTTATAGTACACTTAAAAGTATACTTTTATATACTAAAAAGTGGGCCAATTTAGTCCCAAGCGGTATTCAAGTAGTACACTTACAAGTATACTAATAGTATATAGATGTTAGTATACTTACTACATGAAGTATACTTAAAAAATTTACTTCAACATTACATAAGTATACTACATAAAATGAACTTGAAGTAAACTTCCTTTTCATAAGGGAAGGGAAGATGAAGAGTAACAACTGAATATGCTGTCATGTTTTTTGCCAATTAAAGAAACTGAAAAGGTAATAATCAATGATCCATATTCCATTATACTGCAAAAACTATTTTAAACCAAACTGCTAATATAAAAAAAAAAACATTACCACTGAAATCTATAAGCTCAAATACAGACCATATTATCCTTTCCATCCAGTCCTTACAGAAGATTTGTTCATTTTCAGCATGTATTCTTCAGTCGTGGACCTTTAATGAAATCCACTTTAACGAAATAAAGATGAAATTAGATTTATTGTCTTTATGTTCTGGGGAGAAACTCAGATGTAGTCAGATGAATACAATTTGTCATAAGGATTCAGTTTCAGTTAATAAACAGTTAAATCTGTCTGCAGCCACAAATTTGATTTGGATTCACAAACTCTTATGAGTTTGAAATATTCAGAAGTTCTTTGTAGTCCTGTAATTTGAAGACCAAGATACGGGAGTTTATCTTAATTACTCATGAATTGAAAGCATTTCACAGTTGTTTACATTTAGATATAAACTAGATATCTAAGCTCAGTGGTATTGATAGCTTGTGCAGTTCATCTCTCCAATTAATTCTATACGTTATTATTTATATTTGTTTTTTTAATGTAAAATGCTTTTATTTTGGTCTGTGGTTATGACGTCATAAGGCTGCGTCAGTGATTCGGCTGAAGAAAGGTGTGTGCTTTTAATCATTTAACGAGTTTGAATCATTACAACTTATTTAGAGAATTGTATTGCATAAAACTGAAATGAATTATTAGTGAATGTAACACTGCTTACTTAGTGACATTAATAAAGGTTATTTTGTGTGAGTAAGGCGCATGAATAACAGGAAAGGTGCGTCTTATTTCGCTCAGTTTATCATAAACATAAATCCAGTCACTGGCCAGCAGTGATGGAGAAACGCATCTGTTCGAAACTCAGGGTCAAACGAATCAATTGTCAAATGATTCAGTGATTCGAAACGCTCGATTCACCGCACGCTGCTCAAAATACAAACACAAACGTGTAATCGCAACTTCTCCAAACAAACTTCAAATGTTTTCATGAAAGTGTAATGTATCTTATTACAATAATGACACTTATTATATATTTAGTTACATTTAGATAATTTTAGAGATTTATTTTGGATTTATTTTTCTTTCTGTTTATTATTCCCATTTCAAACAGGACAAAGTGTTCAAATACACAGAAAAACTGGTGAGTTAACTGAGATCCTCGTGACACACTATTATAAAGATGGCGTTTATTAAAGAGGAGAGTGAAGACATGAAGATTGAAGAAACATTCAGAGACAAACATGAAGATACTGAGGAACAAACAGGTTGGTTTTTATTCTCAAAGCTGAACTCATAATGTATCTTATTACAATAATGACACTTATTATATATTTAGTTACATTGATTTAGATAATTTTAGAGATTTATTTTGGATTTATTTTTCTTCCTGTTTATTATTCCCATTTCAAACAGGACAAAGTGTTCAAATACACAGAAAAACTGGTGAGTTAACTGAGATCCTCGTGACACACTATTATAAAGATGGCGTTTATTAAAGAGGAGAGTGAAGACATGAAGATTGAAGAAACATTCAGAGACAAACATGAAGATACTGAGGAACAAACAAAGATGGAGTTTATTAAAGAGGAGAGTGAAGACATGAAGATTGAAGAAGCATTCAGAGTCAAACATGAAGATACTGAGGAACAAACAGGTTGGTTTTCATTCTCAAAGCTGAACTCACTCATTTGATCCTTATTAAAATGTCCAACTCTACAGAAATGAATGATATAGAAGAATGTATTTTAATAAAATGGTTTTATTTGACACATCACACATTCAGTAACCGTATACAACAGTAAATGCTGAATCAAGCAATAACCAAGTTATATGTAGTAAACATCAGTCATGTAACACAATAATAAAATGTTTGGACCATTGACAGCTTGTTAGAGTTGTTGCATGCTGTCTATATTTGTTCTTCATTTAAAAGGCTGTGGCAAGCTACCCTAAGATGACATTTCTACACAATCATTTTTTTTTTTTAATGTATTGTTTTTATTTATTTGAGTTTTCCCCAACAGTCCAAGCATACCTGTAGGCCTATAAGAACAGTGCATAAAACAAACTTGTTTCTGCTCCACAGCAGATTCCAAGTGACATGAGGCTGCATGGGTGCAAACAACAATAGCAGGAGAAGAAGCCATTTCTTACCGTGATTGATGAATGATTATTACTTAGCACTGTTGTTTGATGAACTCGTGAAAAACGGAGCGAGAGAAAAAGAAAACCGTAATAGATGCGAATAGAAATGCGAATGACAAGCTAACCGGCTAACGAATGCTAACACTCTGCACTCGCGGCTTTAGATTAAAAGCCAACGATCAAATTAGATTAGTTTGATGGATAATATCAGAAAAATGGTGGGAATTAAGTGATATTTTATCACTTTAAACAACTGAGAGTGATTGTAAGATAGAGATTCAACAGAAAAGCCAAGCTACACGGAGCTACAATCGCAATCCACTCAGCAGCCTTGATTTACAAACTTGATTGAAAGTCATACCAAAATGCATTTTTCCACATAAATGTGTGTCTGAAGTGCAGTGCTGGTCCTAGATTTCTGGGGGCCTCATTTTCTTTTGTTGTTTGATTTAGATTAAATGACAGAGACAGCAGCAGGTTTATTAGGCTGCTGTCACTTTAAGACTAAATGCACAGTTCTAATATACTGACAAGCATTCAATTACTTTACTAACTGTTTATGTTCATTTAAGACATAACTGACTGCATTTAAGTGAAAACTCACTAAGATGGATATTTTGACATATTTTTGTGTTTTTGCAAACCCAAAGCAGTAGCCAATATTTGTCTGTGTTTCACACCGTATTGGATTGTGCGCACAGAAGCCACCTGGGGAAGCATCTCTTTCGCATTTCATTGCAAACATTGATAAAATCGATAATGAAAATCATCGACAACGATTCTCATTATCGATTAGTCGGGTCTGCCCACAGTGCACGTACAACTGCAGCCGGTCGCGTCAAATTACAGCACTGAATAACGCATTTCTATGGACAAAATGCATTAAAAAATATTGGAGGAAACAGAATGAGCTCCTGCAGGAAAAGTACGTGATCCAAGCTGCCCAAAACATGAGAAATCTTTATTTTAAGCTTCAAGCTGATGCATTAGCGTAATGGCTTGCCCTGTCAGGTGCTAACCTCAGCGCAAAAAAACTTTCTGTTCACGGTCATATCCTTATCTGTAAATGTCACAAATTCACGCGAGCCTTTCCATTTTTGCATAAAGGCACACCCTGACAGTCTGCGTTAAGTTGAAATCTTTACTGAAAGAGCGCCGGCGCGGCGGTCACACGCGTTAAACAGACGGAACACAGAGAGGGAGACAATATTCGGCGCAAAAACATTTTAGATAAAAACAATTTAGGTTTAAAAGTCAACATGCAGTGCGAGTAAGTTATGAGAGTAGGAACTGTGAAGGGACAACAGCGTGTAATTGTCTGAATATAAATGTCACAGAGGCTTTTACAGGATAAATAAATGACAGTAAGAGGAGACTGACTGTGATCAAAGTGCACGCGACGTGTGTTCCTGTAGAACATTACTCTGATTTTATTAGTCTTTATTATCTTTATTATTTACATGTTTGATCTAGAGATTTAAACTATATTCACTAGGCTTATATAGCCTACAGTGATTAAAGGGGGTCCTATTATGCTTTTTCACTTTTTTAATTTTAGTCAGTGTGTAGTGTGTATGTTTGGGCATAAAAAAGATCTAGAAAGTTACAAATCTCAAAGTGCACTCCAAAGGGAGATATTTAGTTTTTAAAAAAATCCCTTTTCAAGAACTACAACGAATGGCTCGTTTGGACTACAGCGTTTGTTTTCTGGCTTTGTGATATCACAAAGCGGCTCATTAGAAAATCATTACAAATAATTCCCACCTACAGAAATTCGAATGGTTGGGGGATGGGGACACAAAAATGACAGCGTTTCCATCAACCAATGTTATGCGACTAAAACACAATTTTTCCTCTCGCAGTAAGTCATGCTGACGGATGTTGGCAAGTTTATGTACCTCACAGCCACCGCACCAGCCATTAGGACTGGGTTTGACACAAATTTCACAATTTGATTTGATTATGCTCTATAAACTTGCGATTCAATTAGATTTCGATTTGATTCAGTATCGATTATTTTGGATAAACATCCGGTACAGTACATTGAAATTTTTCTCAAGGAAAAATAATCTCGCCTAGGGATGTAACGATTCACTCAAGTCACGATTCAATTCACGATTTTTTTTTAACAAAATGAGATTTAAGACATGATAAATTAAATGTGTCCTTTTATTATTGCTTGGACAAAATGCTGCACGTTTCTTTGTGAAATTGAAATATAACACTATAATAATATACTAATATAGCACTTGCATATTATTGCTCTTTTGTTGGTTTTGATTGCTTCTATTGTCCTCATTTGTAAGTCGCTTTGGATAAAAGTGTCTGCTAAACAACAACATTTAAATATAATGTAAATGTAAATAACAAAACTAATTTGAAATTTTAAAACAAGCCCCAAATCAAACAAGTAACGCAAATAAAAGAAATCTCTTAATATAAACAAATGAAGGCTTTGTCTGTGCTCTCTCCATTTAAAATTAGAGGCAGGCAACCACTGCATTTTAATCATGATCCAAACAAAGATGCTGCATACATGCAACATGAGCAGTTTTTAATCTAAATTAGATTGTATGATTTCGAAATTTGAAGCAAAAACAGAATTATTTGACTTCAGTTTTGTGAAACTATGCATAAAAAATATCTGCATGAAACAGAAACAGCAGACGAGCTGAATGAGACACAGATGCACTCTCTGCCAGCAGGTGGCGCTTAAAGCGTTTCATTGATTTCCGCTGTAAGCAAAGCAGCTCTGCACTTATGAACTTTAATATGCATTATACAGAGACAAGATGAAAAGAAAAAATACCATCTAAACTTTTTATGATTTGTTTATCATCTCAACCGATTTGAATTGTCACATATTTAAATGGATTTTCAACCGGCTTGCGGTTAATCATTACATCCCTAATCTCGACTAATGTTGTATATACATGGGAGTCAGTTGGTACTATATTACTGTAATATTGATGGTTAAAAGTAGTTGATTTGTATACAAAAACTTAAGAATCAATAGTTTCATCAAAATAAGAATCGATTAAAATCGAGAAATTGATATTATTTACCCAGGCCTACTAGCCATTATTTTTAATCAGAGGGAAACGTATCAGCTCCGGTGGCCATGTCGGAGCCGTGATGCACCACAGATGTGTGCAGTGTAAGTAAGGCATTATCCAAGCATTAATGGCAAGGAAAGCCCCTTATACCTGAAGAGTGGCTATGTATGTGGTGTTTCTTGGAGGTTATAGTATGTTAAACAATGATCATGTGACTTTTACTTTCACTGTTGTGGGACAAACAATGGTCTTCTCAAAGTCGAAAATAAAACTCTAGAAACGGTGTTCCAGATGCCAAAATAAGACTTTATTGAACACTGCAACAAAGCCGAGATGACAGCCGCCGCATCTGAGTCTTTGTCTATCCGGGCAGCCATACTTATGCCTTGTTCTTATCAGTCTTTTTAACCAAAAATTGACAACTCGGCCTCTGATTGGTTTTACCCCATTAGTTTTGCTATAATTAATTCATACTCCTCTTGGTTTACTTTCTAATCGTAGACTCCCACTGGTTTGAACCATTTTCCATTTCAACTTTAGTCTCATCCTCTCTCCCTAGATGCAGGTGTCCTTATGGCCATTCATCATACTTGTTTGTGCCATCCTTGACATATTCTTGGAAGTCACCCAAAGTTCACTAGTTCATTCCAGTTCTTTTGGTGCTGCCCAATGGAAAGTACCATACTTGCCCAGTAGGGGGCACCTAAGACTCACAGCCTATATTAAAGGGGTGGTTGATTGCGATTTCACTTTTTTAACGTGTTAGTGGGTAATGTTGCTGTTTGAGCATAAACAATATCTGCAAAGTTACGAAGCTGAAAGTTCAATGCAAACAGAGATATCGTCTTTTAAAATTCTGGCAGTTTAATGCCTATAAAAACGGCTGGTAGGGACTACAACAAGTTACTTCCCAGGTTTGTGACATCACAAACCCAGACAAACCCCGCCC